CAATAATAACCCATGTAAACTAAGATCAACTGCGATCGGCTGTGAAAATTATCTGCTGAAAGTAAACTTGTAAGTTTGTTTGTCCGAATTTCGCCTTTGTCTTCGTTTTTATGACGTCACGGCTGCGCTGCGCTATTCCAACAACTCGAAAGTAATAGATGCATCTGTAAAAACAAATTATAGGTCCAAGGAATAAAATAAACTTAATGACGAATTTCTCAACATTTAAAATTCTGTTCTTGGCTTAACGTATGTCGTTCCTTTTCTTCTTTTAATCTCCAAAGCGAATTCCTAATGATCATGGTTTTAATACGGCAAAAAGGATCGAAACTACATCGCATTTTTTTAGTAATCCTTAAGGGACTTAATTTTGTTAATAAAGCGGGAGGGAGACTAGAAGGAATTTCTGAGCAGAATGTTGTAGGAATTTTCAGTAAAAGTTATGGTAAATTAAATTGTTCGATTTGTTTACTTATTTTTCAGACGAAATGAAAGCATTCGATCGGCGCTGAACAAGAAACTATGAGAAATCAGCCTTTGGTTAATGGTTACAACTCCCCAACAGACAGCAAAACATCACTGGAAGATCAGAAATCTGTAGATATGCCCAACGAATTTGGTGTGAAGTTACCACCAATATCGCAAGTGGACTGTTTGGGATTACACCGAGTTGACGTGGATGCTATTACGCAAGAACGTGAAGACAAAATGTCGAGACTTAGAAACAGGTACAAGCGAATCTCTACTGGTCCCATGAATGAAAGAGAGTTCGGATTCGGTCGCAGAAAGAAGAAGAATCTAGACGTAGTCGATGGAAAGGCTCCTCCAATTTCACAGATAGGTATGGGGTCGGAATACGAAGTCCCGTGGTGGCAAACAAGGGAGCCGAAGAGGAACATCAATGCCACAAGATTGTTACCTCTTTCACAAGTCTCTTGTCTTATTTACAGCCCAGAAAAAGAGCAATGGCAGGTAAAAAATGAAAAAAGGAACTTTCGGTCCAAGTTTGAAGCTCATGAGTGGGATTCAGAATATGTCAAGCTAGCCAAGGCAGGGGGACAACCTGGTCTACTTCACTACGTTGAGGCAACCCCTCCCCTTAAAAGGACATTGGACAGTAGGTATTACCCAGGAGGCAATGCTTCACTACCTGAGCTAAAGTCCAAGTCTGTACAAGATCCCACATGGAGGCCATCACAATGGGCAGCTTTGTCTCCCATTAAGAAGAATGATCACCGCGATGACTTGAGCTCGAGAGAAAAAAAGTGATGGCTTTCTTGCATGTTTTGTCGTCAAATTAAGTAGAAAGGAGTTGCTTTGCGCTTRCTAAAACCATATATAGATGATTATTTTCCTCCAATAATGTTTTACCTTCAGCAACGGCTCAAAGGTTTGCTGCAAAATTTTATGTCCGACAAAACTATGAGAAAGATGAAAATGATGCAACAATTTGTAAAATGTTGCGGAAATGTGGAAGTATCACTCTTTCGTTTAGTTATAAAGCCCAAATTCATATACAGAATTTTCTTAGAAATCAAAATTGATTTATGAACGATTCTTTCTTTTTTTACACTAATTTATTGCCACATTTAACTTGAAAATACATTTCTAAAAAGAGATTTGCCTTCAATTGAACTTGGGAATAAATCTGAGGCGGACAAAAATTAAAAGTTTTTACCGCTTTGAACTTTGAAATGAAGGGAACTAGAATGACGGTAGGAGACTGKGATAGGAGTTGGCTGTCAACTCTCTTCATAAACTATAGCTATTTACATAATTCCAAGACAATATTACCCACATTTTGATATTCAAACTTTTGCGCCATAACAAAGGTGGCTAGGTGGAATAGCTGATAAATCTGTTATGGACGCCATGACAAGAAGACTAATGTATACTCGCATTACTTAGAATATTATCATCTAATAGCAAAAGACTATCTAAAAGTAGCCTCGTCTATGTAGAGCTATTTGAATGGCGAAGATTTTGATGCTGCATGTTGCAAGTTGCGTGCTGCAAGTTGTATGTTGCATACCAAGGTCAACTGAATATGGGCGATGTGAATGCAATAAAGGATTCGAAAAGTTAACAAAACTGTATAGACACTCGAACTTTTCCCAAATACAATATTTGCTACATGTCCGCAGTACATTTCGGTCTTGGAATGCAACATGCACCAAAACCTTCAACACTACGGGCGATGTGAACATGAATTCGTTTAACTATCTATCTAGGCTAGCCCAAACAATCTGTGATTTATATTGTTTACATACAAACAAAGTATATATGTCAACAACCTCTTTTGAAATAGCTGTGATAACATTTTCGTCTGTTTGTTCTATATCGATGTATGATGATAGTTTTAATAATTTTTATATTATTGTTGAAATTATATATCAAGCAAAATGCATTATTACTAAGTGCAACCTTATTCTATAAGTAGACATCTTCTTCATCAATAAGAATGGGATRTTCAAATTGTTATTGATGACCTAAGAAAAACACGCCAAACTCTGAACTTTTTATCGACATAGAAAGAAGATCTAGATAATAAAGGTAAAGCTATAGGTTAAAATATCAATACCCCGTAATTTGGCACAACAATGGACGTAGCTGCTTATAGTCTATTTTTCTACATATTTTCTTTCCCCAAAGTTTTAAAAATGGGTTTGCCTTGCCTTGCCTTGCCTTGCCTTGCCTTGCATCAAGCATGGCCTCCAAACCACCAGTTTGTCGTCGAATCGGGATCCTTAGTACAGCGAAAAGCAGCATTTTTTTGGCCATAGTATCCGAAGTTATCTTCACTGTTTACAGATCCAGAGATAGACATGGCACCACATATTTTAAAATTCCAACTGTCGGTATGAAATAAATGCGAGCTGATCTGCCACCAAGGAGTCATGCATAAGCTACAGTTGTAGCCACGAATATTGACATACTCCACCTGCTTGCATAAGCCCTTACCATTAAGGTGAACGATATCCACCTCAGAGAACTTTGCCCGAACATAGTCTCTATAATCGACCCCATCTGTGGGCAAGTTGCATGTGACACGCCAGTGAGTCGAGAGTTTTTGTAGAGCTTCCATGCGGCCGAGAGAAAGGCGGTAGTTAACCCAGTTAGGGTTTTCTTCATCTATCGCATAGTTGGTAAAAAATGGAATGGAAAGAAGTTGGTTGCTTCGTCGCGAAGAGACGAGAGTCCAAACCATTCCAGGCTCTGTTGTAAAATCGCAATAGACTTCATAAATGAGTTTACTTTTTTCATCAAAGATATGGTATGTGCCAGACTTACTTGAGCCTGATCGGAAATCCAAGCAAGATCTCTTTGGAAACAAACAAACAAAAAAGTTTTAAAATATAAAGTAGTAGAAGAAGGACAAGAAGAAAGGATAGAATGTAAAATTCATAAATTAACTATGTTTTATAATTTTGAACTTACAAGCAATAATTCAGTTTGTACGAACACAAATCCTGGCTTTGGCAGAAGCAAACGATGTATGTCCTTCGTAGACAGGTATTCCCGAAACACTTCACATATCCCTGATCTCTCTAAAGCACTTTGATAGTTGAAGTAATAACAGGGGAAACGCTTGTGGCATGTGATGGCGCACTCGAACAATCCGTTTGTATACAGTGAACGAGACGGCACTAAGTCAAGTACATAGCCTTCGGTTATCTTGCCAACTTTCGATGCTATATCAATGCTTTCCGCTGCTAAATTCAACCTCGCCATTGAAGACAAAACAAACAATGCACTAAGCAAGCTTTTAAAATCCATTTTTTAACTCTCTCTTCTGCTCATGTTTAGCCGACTTGTATCACGTCAGAAAGCACGCTACAGCCCAATACATGCCAAACGCTCGATTTACCTACCAGTGAAAACTGAATAATATAAATTTTTGATGAAAATCCATGCAGAGCTTTTCTAGTCATGGTAAGATCTATGTCATTCATACAAACATTAATTTAGACAATCTTTATGCTCAGAGAATGGCGTCCGGCTACGATAGAGCAGCTTGTGGTCATCCCTCATTAAAACCTGTTTTTTATAAGTTATAATAATAATAACTTGAAAATATACCGAACACATCCCCTTGGCGCCTTTTATTATTTTTCTTTCTTGCCATTTTTTACTCGCCTTGTCACTCAATCATTTCTCAATTTCTCAGCGATTCACAGTTTTTTCATCTTTTATTCGTGTTAAATTCTTTACTATCATTGACTATTCTTCGATTGCACGCTACGTCATTGCGCCCCTTCGGGGGGAGCGTTGGTGCCATTTAACAAAAGAYTTGTCATTAGCATCCATCGTTAAGGGCACCACAATGGCCGCCATATTTTTGTATTTTTACTCTCTTGGGAACGCTTGCAACCCATCAATTCACAATTATTCACTGCTCCCACCAAGGGTGTACATGTATGGTGTTGTGAAGTCGACTTGAGATTTGCTAATTAGCTTTTTTTTCTTCTCTAGTTTATTCATGGAATTGTTTATTACGCCTGCGTATGGTTCTCACGATAGACAACGATTGTATGGCACTATTATATTATATCTTCTTCTTCTTCTTCCTCTTCCTCTTTACGAAATAGCACCGAAAAACGCAAAAAAATCACCGAAAAACCGAAAAACTACCGTCATTGAATCAAGTATGTGTGCTATAACTCCTGCTGTTTTGAGAACGTGAAAAATAACATTAATTTACGTAGAATTTATAAATAAAAACTTTAGACGCAAAGCTTTCAGCTCATGTTTAAATTTGGAACTTTATCCAGGAAGACGGTTCAGTTTTCCTTTTGTAGAAGCCAAAACAACGAAGAAGCGTTTGCCTCTTTCGTATCAAAATCTACTGCATATTAAAGCGATATCTCAGCCGGCATAGTATGGGGGTCCCCTTGTACAAACAATTATTAATTTTCCGATTTGAAAACGCGATCGTTGTAATCAGCAAATCGTCTTTCTCTTTCTACTCTGGCACTCCCACGCAGAATCGTGTCACAGCTTCCCGCCCAAATTGAATTCTTATTTTTTTAAATAACTTTTGAAACACATTATTTTACTGGATGAGATCATGGTTGGAGTCAATTGTATAAAAAAATTTGGGAATTAGAAAATCTACGATTTAATTTATTTGTGATTTCTTTTTCTCTGTGCGCTTTAGGGTGCCTTTCTTTTCGTTTCATAATTTTATTTTAAGATTTTAAAGTAATCACACCACGAAAGAATAAAACTTTTTGAACAAAATTAATATAGTATTTGTGAAGCTTTTGTAAACAGCTCAGTAAGAAAGAGAAAATCTTGATTTAAAATCTTGGTTCTTTATTACATTTGGGTTTGTTTACACTGCAGAAAGAATAGATGAAGTATGAAATAATGTCAATGAAAGATCGTTCTTCACTCCCTTCATGATCATGATTCTCACAAATGTAATTGTTTTTTACTAACGTTCTAAGCATGTCTTTGGTCACAATCATTGAAAAAATATCCATTTGAATAAGTTGGTCGAATAAACTCTAGGAAGTGTATCTTAAATCTTAACAGTATTCATAAATGTATCATTTGTGAAAGAAATGATTTAGAATCACGATATATCATTGAAAACTCAAACTGAACGGAACGGTCCGTCATTCGATTACTGCGTGAGGTTACTGTTCAGCCACCGGTGACCTGCTGAGACRGGTGCGTCACATTCACATCACTATCACGGCACGGCACGGACGCAGCATGGCACGGCACGGACACAGCATGTTACGGCACGGAAACGGCCGTTACAGATAGCATCACGGACATGGCATCTCAAGGACACGGCTTGTCACGGACAGGGGCACGACCGTTGCAGATGGGGTCACGGACACGGCACGGCAAGGACACGGCATGTCACGGCATGGACACGGCCGTTACAGATAGGGTCACGGACAAGGCACGGCAAGGACACGGCATGTCACGGTATGGACACGGCATGTCACGGACAGGGACACGGCCGTTACAGATAGGGTCACGGACACGGCACGGCAAGGACACGGCATGTCACGGCATGTCACGGCATGGACACGGCATGTCACGGCATGGACACGGCATGTCACGGCATGGACACGGCATGTCATGGGCAGAGACACGGCAGTTACAGATAGGATCTCGGACACGGCACGGCACGGACATGACATCTCACGGCATGGACACGGCATGTCACAGACAGGGACACGACAGTTGCAGATAGGGTCTCGGTCACGGCACGGCAAGGACACGGCATGTCAACGCTAACAAAGGTCCTCTTAACAAGTAATTTCGGCACAAATTTGCCTGGGTATACACAATTGTTTACATTTATAACAGGGTATGTAGCACTGCTGAACCCGGTAGCAAAGACGTCCACCACAGCCTGATCGCTTTGCGCTCCCTGAAATAATTAAAAATATATATGATTTACTGATCACATGAGAAAGTTTCTGCGCGAGCATAGGAACAAAAAAAAAAACAAGGTAATGTTTCTAGTGTATTTAATTCCTGGAATTCTGTATGCTTTTTAATTTGCCTTCTGCCAAAATCAACTCCAATTGGATTCGGTGGAACAAGAGCCACTGTGGAGCCTACGAGTCAAGCCCGGTAGCAAAAGTTAGTATCTGGATGGGTGACGTAACTCAGCCTTATAATTCTGTTTATTGGGAATCAAGTGCACACCCCTTTCAAATCTGGGGTCTGGCTCCAGTTAGATTGCTAGACTCAGTATCAGATGTGGGCAGAGTTTGTTAAGTCTTTCCTTGCGTTCTTCGGTTTCCCTTCCTCTACAAGACCTAATACACTTCAAAAGTCCCCTTCACAGTTCCCTGCGCCATCTTGAAAGGTAACCGTGCCTGAGCCTTGAAGCGGGAACGATGGTGACTTTGCAATGATAGAGACGTGAACAATTGCCCAAGGTGTTAAAAGGACTCTATCATTGTAAAGTCTCCACCGTCCTCTCTTCGACTTTGATCAGCCCAGAGACTGTTTCAGGGCATCGATAAAGTTTGAATCAAACATTGGAAACAAACCTTTGCTTTGTCCTTCAGCTGGTTTTTCGTTATCTGCTGGGGTAATGAGAAAAACAGCCATGCCCTTACACATCTGTTTCATCTTGCTATCCAGGATACGTTTGTTTCTGATGGTACCAGACACACGCCATGCCAAAGTTTTAGTTTTGACATCCTCGTTTGGTTTGAAAGGCTGAAGCAGGTGAAAATCAAAAGGTATGATGTTAGTTGACTATTATTCTGCAATGCTCTTCATAGCACAAAATATCCATACGTTCGGACAGTTGATAGTTTTGATTTTTTTCTTTCTTTATTATTCCATTATTAATTTCGTAGTTCTAAAAGCTGGTACAAATGAACTGTTGTTGTTGTTGTTGTTGTTGTTGTTGTTGTGGCCCACAAGAGGCATACAATAAGTTTAGACGAGTTACGAGCGGAAATGAAAAACAAAAATCTGTAATTTTTTCTTGCAATAATGCAATAAACTCTGATAACTAATTACCTTGAGATTTTTCGAGTTAGGAAGTTCATCAATAGCTCTCCATACGTAACAAATCCTTTGCGTTGGTACTCTTATCAATGTTAAATTCTATAGTAATATGAAAATTAAACATTGAACATTGAAGTGGCTTTCCATGTCATAAGAATGGTTTTCTTATGAGTGGCAAGCATACAATACAGACTTACAGTACGTAAATTGTACGAGGACATGCCGTAACATTGAAATGGCTTTCCTATAAGAATGGTTTTCTTTTAGCTTATAACGACTAAGAAACATACGTTACTCTCATACTGCACTTGTACCGTACAACATGCCGTAACATTGAAATGGCTTTCCTATAAGAATGGTTTTCTTTTAGCTTATAACGAAGAAACACTCTACGTTACCCTCATACAGCACTTGTACCGTACAACATGCCGTAACATTGAAATGGCTTTCCTATAAGAATGGTTTTCTTTTAGCTTATAACGAAGAAACACTACGTTACTCTCATACTGCACTTGTACCGTACAACATGCCGTAACATTGAAATGGCTTTCCTATAAGAATGGTTTTCTTTTAGCTTATAACGAAGAAACACTCTACGTTACCCTCATACAGCACTTATACCGTACAACATGCCGTAACATTGAAATGGCTTCCCATTGTCTTCCAGTAATTCATCCAATCACAACGCGTAGTTACAGTTACAGCGAATCCCACTCATGAAATCACTAGAATTGTATTACCAACCTTTTTGAAGTCGAATATGAAGTCAGCGGCATTAGCGTAAGGGGACCCAAAGAAGTACTCGATATGCTTCGCAGAGTCTATCTTCACCGTTCGTCTTTCATACGCTTGACCATTTTTATTTGTAGGCAGATCAAAGATGGATTGAAGCGTGAGCTAGGAAAAGAAATACCTAATTGAAAAACAACTAATTTATAAATAAGGTTTTGTAGGGACGAGTGCTTCTTCATCTAGACTCCCAAAAGAACAATATATTAGACTTCAAAACAATACAATACAAAAATGGTTTTCATATGAATATTTTGATATAATAAACTGGTGTCTTCCATTCGCGGTCCGGTCTGAATACACCTATTTCAAAAAAAAGTTGTCATCGCCAAAGGCGAAAGGCGCCATAAGTCATTCCGATACGGAGATGATTTCATCGACTACAAACAACATTGAATCAATCTCAACACTAGAAACAAAAGTGATTTTTCCCCTTTTTTTACCCACCTTCGTTGCATGTATAGGTAAAGATTGGCTGTTCAACGATATTAACAAGATTAACACCTGGTATCTGTTTAGCAGAAGCATCTGAAACAAGAAATACTTAGTGTGAAATGGTTTCATTTTATTTACAGAAACATTGAGTCTGACAAGCGAATACTTTTACATAGAACTTAAAAGATTGCTCCGCCAATTGCAAGAATAAAAAACTATGTATACAGAAATATTCTATGTGAGAGAGAAATGAAAGACGTATTTGAGTTTTGCGAATTGAAACTATTGATTGAGAATGTTCCGTGAAGAAAAATGTGTTGTCTTTTTTTTACGCAAAAGCTGCTCTAATTCCAGAGTCGTGAAATTTTTGTGAATTTTAGCTGCAGAAATTAGAAAAGCTTTTATACTAACTTTTCCTTAGTTGGTGGAAAATAAATCTCTTCTCTTCAGTTTCAAGGGCAATTGAAAATAATGAGCTAAACTCGTAGAGTTCACTCAACTGCCAGGTGAGCTAATATCACATCGCCCGTAAGTCTATACTCTGTCAATGAGTTTTCTCATCAGATATTAAATATTGTAGTGCGTCTTTCTTTAACGGAAATGATATGTTCCTAGGGATTCACTAACACTATCGTTAGAATAAAACATTTAATATAGCAATTGTTCGTGTTTAAAAAGGCTAATTACGTACATGTACGTAAATATACCTACCACCAACTAGTGGCTATTGAAAGAAAGGAGAATCTCGTCTTGTAGAAAACAGATGAAGCTTAACTCCGGACACGAAGAACAAAAACATAAAGAGATATACTACAATGGTGTTTATATTCAGAGAAATGAGGATTATTACGAACCCCTCGCATAGTGGCGCTCGACTCAGTGCTGTAAAAGATTCTGCGCAAGGGAGTGATGTGTTGATCAGATTGTACCGTTTACATTCAATAATATGTTCTTTTAGATTAAAGAAAATATTATGATAGGTTTTGAAAGCTTGAATTTGAAAATAAAAATTAAATAAATGTTGTTTTTTCCCCCTATGTAGGAGTGGTAATTCTCTAACCTGGATCATGGTAGGTCAAGTATTGTAACCGTATAGACCGTTTTCTCAAGGTTACGTGCGCATCCAAATTTAAGGAACTTGACGGACCACGATACCAGAACACGAGCATTGCTATGAATTTGTTTTTGATAAGAATTCATAAAATTGACTATTCTCCTCTTTAAATATAAAACTGGCTTCTCAATTTCACTGAATTTGCGTTTTTCAGTTTTGTGGCCCGTCAAGTTGGATGCGTACGCAACCTTGAGAAAACGGTCTATTGTATCTGCAGAAACTATCTTTTTTTCTTTTTTTCAGCAAGTATTTTTTGCCCGCCCACGGGAACTGGGCAATGCTTTTGGGAAGACAGTCAGTAGCTCCAGTAACATATGAAAAGAAAACATAGAGAAATATAGAGAGGTATTACTGAGAAACAACGAGCGCGATAATTTTCGGGTTGAAGTAGATTYGTTACTTGAAAGATAAAAAATTGGATATAAAACAAATACTAAAAAAGATTATCTGGATACTGTGGGGTTCGAACCTAAGTTTACCAAAATTCAAAAAATCGACTCCACTTTGCCATACCCCCGAGACATCCGCAGAGCTGAGGCGTCGTATGGACTTCGGACCTGACGGCGATTAAATCCTTCTGCCCTTGGGTGTACGAATTACGCAAGAAAATGTTCTAGCCGAAGCATCAGGGGAGAGACCAGCCGGCCCCCCAGACCATATCGGCTAATCCCTTGCATCTCTGCCACGCACGGAATCGGTTGAAAAACTAATATTAAAAAGTCAAGTCTATCCGGTGCATTGTTTCCAGTGCTATTGTTGTGCTAATTTTATGCAACCGTGGCCCACTGGAAAAAACTTGGACTTTAAAGAAATTGGGTCAAGCCTGGTCGAGCATGTTAGTACCTGGATGGGTGACCTAAACATTATACCTACTCAAGCTTTTTTTGTTTTCTTATGTTTTTAAATCTTTTTATTCCAATGTAAACATTGTTTAGAAATTAAATCTGTTGTTTTTGCTCCCATTTTGTCCCCTTTTTCCCTGCGTTTATCACTACCATAAAAGATTTCAAAGTATTTCTCAGAATTAATGACGAATCTTTCCAGATCCCTCACTTCCAGTTGTCCCATCAGACGTCTTCAGCCGAGCACACGGTCTATTAAAATGATGGCTGCCAGTTTTCTCAGTGGCCGCTTCGAATCTGTAAAATGTTCGCGTGGGCCGATTTGCTTGCTACAGGTATTGAAAGCTTTCACTTAGCAATTATTATAAGAATAAACAGGAAAATCCTACTTCAATATCACGCAATATTAAATATTCAATCCCAGTGACCAAATATACAATCATTGGTAAATTTTAATCACGAAAGAAAATTCAAATGTTTTTCTAACTTATCATCACAGCGACACTAAAAAAATCAGTGAAATTTAGGATTAAATCAAATAACGGAAATCGTTCTTAATTTGGAACGGAAAGAAACAGCCATAATCAAATCCCTGCTGTTTGGTTCATAAGAAATCCTAAACTGGCCGGACATGAATAGACTTAAAAGCTTACCTACAAAACGAGTTATTTCAATTCACAGTTTGAGGCTCATAGCCGCGTTTAAAATGCAATTGGCCTTATTACTTTGAGCGTAATATTTTCTCATTTCAGATACGTCATTCAGGTCGTCCTTTTTAAGATAAGATTTTCGGTTTGGCCTCCAACCCTGACGTATGATGCACCTACTGAGTTATATCTGGTTAATTCATAAATCCATTATCGATCGATTAACCCCCCTCCGTCCCAAAACCCTCCGCCCCCACCCCGCCCCCCATCAGTAATTAAGCAATTAATTACACTGTTTTCTCAAAATTATCTTCAATGCGAGGTGAACATACATACATACATACATTTATTGAGGCTCCTTTTTACAAGGCTTTTCAGCAACAATATAGATAAATATAATATAACACTAATATAAATGATACTATTATA